AAATAATATTTTAGTCTTATTTTTTATGTTGTTTGTTTTCTAATACTAATGGTTACGATTAACTTTTAATAAACTAGTGGATTGGCTTACAAACATTTAATAAAAAATATATATTTATAAGTATTAGTCTTAATTATTTTTTCTTAATCGAAATAATAGGTGAAACATTTCAAGTTCCACTTTTAAGGAGTTCTTTTTTTTTCCTCTTATAATTAATTTTTTATAATAAGAACTTTTTCTTTGAACATCCATGTTACTTTCAATTGCCATATAACTCATATAAACTAATGCCTTATAAACCTAATACCAATCCATAAGTTTTTGATATTTGTAAGGCAAAAACAGTCATTAATTAAATGAATCATTAAGCACAATAATCGTTAACAACAACTTTCCCATCTTCAGGACATTTTCGTCTTTATGCCTTTAAAATGTTTATGGACTTGGCGCGTTTTTGGGCAGTAAAATGTTTCGAGTGCAGTCGAAAAGCAGCACTTGAGGCTTGATTAGTGTGATTTAGTTACAGGCCGTGTGCCAGGCGCATGACACAAGCATCGGCTCCTCAGCTCCTCAGCTCCACAGCTCAGCTCCCAAACTATCAAACTACCAAACGGGCATGCTCGCAAAACTACAGACCCCGACTCAGATACAGATACAAATGCGGACGGAGCTGACTCGACTGACTTACATTCAACATCCCGTTGAACGTTCGATGCCCCTCGGATGCCTCTTGTAGTTTGCACAATATTTGATTCCATCAGTGGCAGTCGTGGAAAAAAGGGGGCGATGGGCGGTGGGCGGTGGGCGGGAATGGGCGCCCGGGGGTGGCGGGCGTTTTGCTGGGCCCACTGTGCGCAATTTGCTACACGAAACTGTGCCAAACATCTGCGCCTTGAGTACCTTCGGCTGCTTTTCGCCGCTTTTTTTCCGCTGCCGATGCTGGAGTAGGAAATGAAAACATCTGCTGACTGATTGCCCCCTGGTCGCAGTTTTGCAGCCACAAAAACGCCAGGAAAGGAGGATCATCCGCCGCATGTCGAAGATGCAATGCACTCCCCAAGTGATCACCTGGGAAATATAAGGTTAAACAGACTAAATGACACCGGATTTGTCTATTTTGTGTAACTTCAATGGGCCTTAATAATAAGCAACAACTTGTAGACGTGGGATGAACGCAAACAAATAGATCAAGGTTTTAGTACCATTAAAAATGTAACGATTAATTTCAATTTGTAAAAAATGCTTAAATTTTTGTTATTGATTTCAATAACAACAATTAGACTTTTTTACAAAATGTATTCTTCAATATTTGGTTGTGTTTCTATATTATGAAAATTGCCTTATAATAGTGTATGGAATTATTAACCATCTTTCACTCCCAACGATGAAACTTAATACCATCAATTTTAATTATCTTTCTTTATGCTGTTAGTATTTATTTTATGACATCCATTAATCAAATTTTGGTTATATAAATTTATTTTACTTAGCTCATTACCAAATGTTTTTTATTAAGAATAAAAAAAGCACCACGGCTAATGAGGCCACAAAGCGAGCCGATTGGAGGTAAGTGCATTCGAAAGCCAAAAGTATGCCCAATCACTCAGCCAAGTTATGAACAACAGTTAGTCGGAGTTAGCCTGGCCGAGTGCCAGTGCCTGAGCCCGAGCCCGGCAATGTGGGTCTTCATGGATCAATGGGATACGCGTGATGTCCTTCGGCTAGATTCTGTTTGCTGCTCTGCGCTTTGCACGTCTTCCGTTTGCCCGATTTCGTTGGCTATAATTGTGCCATTAACGTGGCCGACTGCAGACTGCAGACCGCAGACAACAGACTCCCTTACTCCCCCTCCATCCTTTTGACAACCCTTTCCCCCAAGTCCCCCTCATCTGGCTTGTGTCTACATTTGCATCCGTTTAGGCAAGCATTTTTCCTGCCTTTCGAAAGTCGCATTTAACGGTCCCTCCTTATGTGCGCATTGATGCGCTTTTCCACCCACTCTAAAAAATATTTGTTTACTTTTAATTGTGATTAGAATTTAGTTTTGCCTGCGACTAAGGACCAAGTGGGGACATTCTTTTGACCTATACAAAATTTAATAAAATACCGTACTTAAATTTTATAGATGGATTTGTTTTTGTCTTGTTTCCCTTCTCACTCAATGATTTACTTTAGGGACTTGACCAATTCTAGGCACATATTTTTCCAAGTGCCGGCCACATTTGAGCGGAGGATACAGACCCGATTCGATCCGTTTTGGGGCGTGTAACTGGGGCGCAACAAAGGCCATTTGCGCAACTGGCCCATAATCAACAGTTGCTTAGTCAGGGCGTTATGGATCGCGTCCCTCCGAATTTCCACATTTCGATCCAGGCCATAGTCGAGTCATAGTTTCCACCGCTCCGCAGCTTTATCCATGCTCGTTATCATAATGTGTTGGCTCATTTGACCGGGCTGCCTCAGATTCCCCGTATACTGGGGCATATTCTCGACGAGGTGGGTGGATCCATGGGCATCGGGAGCTGACGACTCTGTAATCAGCGAGGTGTGAGTGACCTGGATAAGGTTGGTCGGTGGCCAGAGATGGGGAAATTGATGGCCCAGCCAACCGAAGAGAATGTTGGGAAATACTTCGGCAAAAAGCTACTTGATCCTCTCATATTAAAAAGCATTTCTTGAAGCGGTAACCATAAACGGTTAGAAAGGTTGAAACTAGTAGAAACCACTTGCCTTGCCCGTTGGGCGGTTGGATGGCATTCCTTGACCTCGCTGATTTCTTTGGGTGGCGATCTGGTTTTGGGAGGCGGCAACAAAAACGAAAAATAAAAAGATAGAAGACACTTAATTGCCAGCAGTTATTGTACAGTAGATTCGATAGCCGATAAGTTACATTTTTCTAAAGAAATGTACAATTATCCTTAGATAAATCTATAGTTAGCAATAAAAGATATTTTAAATTTGAATTGAAGATTGCTTCATCTTTCTTATAACATCTAGTATTTTATTGTTTTGTCTCGAAAATGATTTCCTAAGTAAACTTGTACTACCTACTTGACCAAGTTTCCTTGAAAGTCCATGGAATTCACTAATGATCCCCTTTCATATTCCAACCTCGATAATTTGGCAGCATGTTGCCCAAGAATTTGTTTATCTACTCGAGTTGCTCCACAGCCAAATTATGCCTTCTTCAGACTGTGACCAAATAGCCGGACTAATGCGCTACGACTAGATTCTTTTTGGTCGAGATCAGGGCGGGGCACTGGATGTGAAACCAATTACCAATTATCTACTGTTTTCCACACAAATTTAACATAATTTGGCCAGTTTTGCGTTCAAATTTGTGGCACAATTTGTGCAAGTTGGCTGTGGTCAGGGCCAACAAACGGCACCACGGCCAAAAAGTAAGAGGGGCGGACAGGCGGGAAAGCGGTATTGGAGTTGACTCCGGCTGACTCCAATTGTGGCCGAAGATTATTATTTTGGCTACCGACTGCCAGGCGTATTTCGCATAATCGAAAGTGACCGAACCGCAGCTATTTGACTGATCTTTTGTATGCCACTCGGGTAACGGTCGATCGCAATGCACAGGTTGAAAAAATATTAAACAAGAAAGGAAGTGAGCATTGGCAAGCCGAGTTTTAAATACCCTTGCAGCTAGTTGTTAATTAATATTCTTTAAAACATCTAATGTTATAGTAGCTAAAATGATTTTCAGCTCAATTTTTCGATCGTTCCCATGGCAGCTTTTTCTTTTCTGATTTTAATAAAATTTAATTATAAGACTATTACCAATTAGAGAACTTACTTTTGTTTTTCATTTATTTGTTTTAATATTGATCAAATTTCAACCGTAGTTCTAAAATAAACCATTTCAAAATATGAAAGAACTAACAACGACTTGTATACTACATGGAATAGAAAGAAAACTTTGGGGAAAGTTTCATACAGATAGATTTAAAACTGAGAAACTAGTTTGGGAAGAAATCAATGGACAGGCGGACGGACGGACATGGCTAGATCCACTTTCCTAGTGATGCTGATCAAGAATATAAATATATTATAAGGTCTCCTTTACTGTGTTGCAAACTTCTGACCGAATTATATATTCCCCTTGCAAGGGTATAAAAACAAAGTAAAAAGCCAAAAAGGCTTTGGCAAAAAATGATTGATGCCGATGGCGAGCGCCCCGGCTAATACAATTTAAAATTCAGTTAAAAACAAAAGAGCAAACAGAAATACGAACGAAATACGGATTGGTAAAATATAAAAGAAAAAAAATGAAAAGTATTCATGGATAGATCGCATAGTTTTAACCGCATTTCGCCGAAGGCGTAACACACTCTAAACCGGAAGGGTAATTAACTCGCTTTGCCGATCACGCCTTTGCATTCAGATCGGAGTTTCGAGATCGCAGTCGAGATGGATGGATGGATGGATGGATAGATGGATGGATAGATGACTTGGGTTGGTTGCCCAGATGGATGGCCGGGTATATTAAAAAGCTATAAGTTTCGGGTTTTGTTTCGTCTTTCCTTTTTTCATCTTTTTCGATCTATTTTTTATTTTTGCTCTGTACCAATGATTAATAATCGGGCGGGTTTGTTTTTTAGGCAAATGCGTTCACAATTATGTTTTGGGTCTGCGGCAAGGATTGATGGGTGTATAAAGTCTTCTTTTATGCGGTAATTGAGTGTAGATGAACCAACCTCTTTTTGAATGGCTTTATTATGCCCACAAAATTTCGGTTTGGCTTGTGCGGTTTTTCACTGGTCTCGAATTGGGAAAGATGAGCCAATAAATTCGACAGCGCACTGAAAAGTTTGAATTGCATGGAAAAATATCTAACAGAATTAAACACGTGTCCAAATGTTTGCTCCAATTTTGTATGTGTAGGTTGTTAGCTGAAATAATGTTTTTATTAGCCATTAAAAACACCTATGGCTTCCAAATGTATAATTTGAATTCCAATAAAAACGATTGCCTTTTATGCGATTGTTTCTTTTATTGATTTTTCATGTTTCATAACGATCTCTTCTGGTTTTTCATATATATAATAATAATAATATAATTAAACGTTAAGTAAATGTTATAAAATTGATTTCGTTTTTCTTGTTTTTGTTGTTGAGAATTGCAATAATTAGCTCTATAAATATGTTAGACTTATGGCATACGTTATAAATCGATTTACACATATAGATTTATATATATATATATATATAAAGCCTATACACGTACACAATCAAAATATCCATATATTTATTTATGTATATAATCCACAGAGTTCCAAAGTAGTTGAAATCGACTCATTAAGTTAAGACTTGCATATGTCTATGTACAGATGTTTAAATTAGCTACACGCTTAAGGTGGTTTTAGAGTGGGTTTAAGTATAGTATATAGTTTATAAAGTTTTTCCCTTTAAATTGTATTTATCTGTGTTTTTAGTTTAAGTTTTGATGCTTCACCGTCTTTTTCCATTGATTGCATAGCTAATGTTTAGTGTTTCGTTTAGTACAAGATGTGTGGAAATGGTAACTACTTAATAATAGGTTTCCCTCTCGGAGGCACGCTTAAGTAAGTTTTAAAGTAAGTTTTTTTTTTTCTTTTTTCATTTAACAACAAGGAAATTGTCTCCTATTCTGTTTTTTCCCCCGTTTTTAAGAGCTTATTGTTATGGCCTTGGCGTTGCTGTTGCTATTGTTGTTGTTGTTGTTCTTGTTGTTGCCGCTGCTGCTGTTGTTGTTGCTGATGTTGCTGCTGTTGTTGTTGTTGAGGCTGCCGGCATCCTTTTCGAGGATCACGGACTGATCATCGCTATTGGCATACTCCTCGGTATCGCCCTCATTTCCGGCCAAACTATTGGGTGTGTAGACGCGGTTCATCATGAAGTTGCGTATCTCATCGAAGTACTCCTCCCGCTCAGCATTGCCAGCGGAACTGGGCGAGTCCCGGAAGTTGTTGCCCTCCGACTCGTGCTTCTTCACATGCCGATCGAGATTCGTCTGCTGGCCAAAGGACCTGTCGCACAGTTCGCAGCGAAAGGGACGCTCCTTGTTGTGGATATTCCTCACGTGGCGCTGCAGGTTCGAGGATATACTGAAGGCCCGATCGCAGTACTTGCAGGGATACGGCTGTTCGCCGGTGTGCGTCCGCAGGTGCCTCGTCAGGTTGGCCGATCTGGGGAACACCTTGCCGCAGAACTTGCAGCAGTAGCGATCCTTGGTCTTCAGTCCGCTGACCGTGGAGAACTTCACGGGCGGAAGCGGTCGCCTTGGGGCTGCTGCACTGGTGGCTCCTGCCAGCAGCGCCTCAATGGCGGGCCGTCCGCCCGGGCGGCATAAAAAAGGAAACCGGCTGCGATAGATCTCCTCCAGCATCATCGGATGTATGGTGTTGGCGCCGGCAGCGCCGCCGGCTCCGTGGGTCTGTGCGTGGGTAAAGTGGGCCAGAGCGGCCTCTGCCGCTCCCGCCGCTGCTGCTGCCGCCGCTGCTGCAGCCGCTGTTGCCGCCGCAGCGGAGGTCGACGTCTCCGTTACCGCTCCGCCGCCCTCGGACGTGCTGCTCAGCTCACCGCCCGCACTGGTGGGCGGCGAAGGCGAGGGCGTTAGTCCCGGCGAGGCAGAGGGCGTGGACTTGTGCGAGGCGGAGGACTCCGCCGAACTGTGCGACTTTCTCATCTTCGGCGGCGGACCCACTTCGGTGTGGAACTCCTGAAACCCGGGCATAAACCTATTGAACAGCAGGTTCTCCTCCGAGGGGGCGTAGGCGTTAAGGGAGAAGGCGGAACCCGAGCGTTTGCGGCATATCGAAAGATCCAGCGGTCCATCTGCTCCAGAAGGTGTTTCCGGTGGAGTGCTCACAATGTCGATGGATTTCTAAGGATAGAGAAAAAAGGAGTTACAAATTAGTATATAATTGAAGAAGCTTAAAAAGCAGTCTATAAATGAAGCCAAGTCTGAGTAACAGATGTCAGTAACTGATTGATTTTTCACTATTAAGGACATTCATAATTCAAAGCACAATCTGCTCTGAGTTGTGGAGACTTTAAATTACAGAGTTGATTTAACAAAAATTTACACTTTTTATTGGTAATAAACAAATAATTTTCCTAATTAGTTGTGTTCCAAACTACTTATAGCTAGTTAGGCCAGCTTGAGTTATAAAACTTTCGACTCCATATGAATATACTAACATAATGCTTTGAAAGATGTAATAATCAAAATTTACCAATTTGTTATATCATTTTGAAGTTGCACAGTCACTTTCTAGACATATAATGGATATTTTGGTTGACTTACCCTATCATCCTCGGCCTGCTGTTGGTCGGGACTACTTTCCCTTTCGGCAACCCGCTTCATCTCCTTCTGCTCCTCCGACTTGACATCTTTCATGGCTTCCTCTGGTTTTATTTTAATGTCCAATGAATGGCGACTCTCGTCGTCTTCGTTTTCGGAGACATGCAGGAAAGGCTCCTTCTTAAAGTCCAAGTCTTCCTTTTTCACTTTGTTAAAAGTCCGCGGGAGAGCAGCGGAATCACTTTTTAGACAGCGTTGTGGCGAATTCAAACCGAAGCCGGAATTTGGAGAAGTAATCTCGGGTCCGACACAACCCATGTCCATTTTTTGCGAGAAGAACATGGGGAAGTTTGGGTTATGCAGCTGATTTTGGGGCATGAAGCCGGGAAATGCGTATGCCGAAAATGCGGGAAAGAACGGCGGTGCGTTGCGGAACATGAGGTAGGGATTCGGTGGCGTCGACATGGCGGCAACGGCGGCAACGGCGGCAACAGCTGCTGAGGACGGCGATTCCGCTGATTCCTTTGCTGGCGCTACACAGGTGGCCGTGGCAGTCGCACTCAGATGCTGCTGAATCTCCTGACCCAGTGGATGCGGATGCGGATGCGGATGCGAGTGCGGCAGCGGATGCGGATGGTGGCGATTGACGTGCTGGTTCCGATACACCGGACTCGTCGAATCACAGAACTTTTTATGCTTGGCCAGGGAGGTCGTAGTGCTGAAGCTCTGGTTGCACTTGTCGCACTTGATCTGCATCCGACAGGTGGCGTGCATGCGCTTGTGCCGGCACAGGTTCGAGAATTGCGTATACGCCTTGGCGCACACCTCGCAGGCGAAGGGCTTCACGGAACTGTGAATGTGCTGGTGCTGCTTCAAGCCCGACGAGGTCCCGAATGTTTTCCCGCACTCCGGACACGGATGACAGCGAGCTCCGACGTGGTAGGCGCGAATATGCCGCTGTAAATTCGAGGGGTCACAAAATACCTGCAAAATACAGATCACAGAGCAGAGCAAACGGTGTGAGTTGCGATTGGTTGGCGGAGGTGGAATAAAAAAATATATACACAGCCAAAAAATACAACAAAACAGTATACAAATATTATTAGCACCCATTAAAATAAGATTAAATATTTTAATAGCACGTATATATATTTGAAACTGCATTGAAAATGCCCTTTCGTTTACCTTTAAAAGTACTTAAGATTAACAACTTTTTTTCATGATTTCTTTTTAATTAAGAAACACATTGTTGTTATAAAAAATATTATCAAATATTTATTATGTTAATTTATTTTCCAAATAAAATGCAATTCAATTAATCTCGAATATATTTATACATAAATATTTCTTTCTCTGCATAAAATATGGAACTGGTTGGGTGATCTGGTTCCAAATCGAAATGAAACGAAACTGAAATTAATCAATCATCTGGTGGTTCTGCTGTTGCTGCTTTTGCCGCTTAAACGGATCTCTTTTGGGCTAGACAATAGCCGACGCTCTCCGAGATTACGCAAAGGTAACCGGAGCAACAACAGCGATTGGCAACAACATCATCTCCACCCACTGGCAGCAGCCAAACACCTTCGTCAATTATTAACATCAATTGTTACAATTGTCATTGCCTGGCTCGAAGCATCTATCACCCCCCGAAAAGGTCTCCAAACGTGGCTCAGGGCTGGACAATAGAAACCCGCGATTTGGCCCTCAATAAGTGAAGGGAAAAGGGTATAAAATAGCCTGAATAAGTGATCTTGAAAAAGGAAAAGCTACTTGGTAAAAATAATAAAGGGAAATTGTTGGGATATTTTTAAATCTTTGAATAAATTTAAGGGAAATCATTCCTTAAGTTTAGGTACCATTTGAACATGGCTTTTATAGAATATTGCATTTTCAGCCTCTTATGAGTTGTTAAATATAATTTAAATGTTAAGTATATGGTGTTTAGCTAAGAAAAAAATTGAATTTTGGAGGGTGATATTCAAGCAGATCTTGTTAAAGTTCATTGTATTTCGCAACATATTATTTACTGAACAAAAGCCCATTCAGGCTTTCCTTTCTATACTATACTTGATCTTAAATTATTTTTCTTTACCAAACTCTGTGACAAATAGTGCGACCAGCCCTAAACCAAAAGTATTCCAGCACAAGCTCGCGCTTTTCGTTTTCTTCGACTGGGCAAAGGCAATGACAGATCGAGCTTGGGAAGAGGATAAAGGGGAAGTGGACTGGCGGGGGTGTTCGATGGGGCAGGAGGGGAATTCAGCCTGGCATCCAGTTTTGTGTACCCACTTCAAACTTGATTTCGGTCAGCCGTTTCAGCCGACTCCCCCGTCGCCTTTTTACGAAACTGTTATGCCTAATCATGCTGTCATAATGCGCTACGAATTCATATCAAACGATGATCGAGGCAGCCTTTTTTGTCTATCTCTATGAGCCACACAAAAGGTGGAAAATCGGGCGGGTTTCGAGGGGGGTAAGAAGACGGGGGTATTCAGGGAAGGCGGAGAGAGAGGCGACATACAAGAATAGCTCGTGCTATAACTACATCAAATGGATTAGATTCAACTACTCTCCAAAAAGGCGAAAAACGCCACAAAAGACAACGACAACTACAACACAAAAAAAAAAAAATATATATATATATAACGACAACGACGATCATGGTGTTACAGCAATAACAACAATCACTGGCGAAATAACAACAGTAACAAATGGAAATGATAGCATTATCATTAAAATAAAAAAATCCAAAGAAAATCTAGTTGTTAAATAAAAAAACTATAAAAAACAAAACTTTTTCAAGATCCTTTAAAATTTTTTTTTTTAGAGAGTGTCAAAACAAAAGTTATTTTTTCCTGTGCACTGAAAGATGAAAAGCAGTCGCAGCTTCGGTGGGTTGAGTGTAGGTGTTTTGGCATTCGGTGGTGCAGAAGTAACGAAGTGGAGAAGTGGTGCAGAGTCGCCGACGAGATCTCTGTTTTTCTGTGGAATGTGACTTGGGTGGGGGGTATTATCAAGGAGGCAGACTGAGGGGGGGGGGCGGGGCTGTAAGCCAAGATCTAGGAGCGTACGTGGGGTCAGCCAAGGCATCAGTGCCTGTGGGTCCATGGCCCGAAGATGTGATCAGACTCTGGTAGCCTAATGGAGTTGAAACTTCTGGTTAAAGTTACAGAGAAATAAACTAAGAATGCTTAAATTTCAGATGACGATCGAGTGGAAATCAGGCATTTATTTGGTTTAAAAGGAAGTTAAAAATTCAAATTAGGTAAACTAGGTAAACAAAATCTAGTTAAAAAAGGATTGCCAGTTTTTAAATGCTTTGGTTAGTATTAGGAAAGTTTTTTAAATAAGCTGTTGAACTACCTTAAGCAAATTTGTTAAGTTGTAGAAATATTAGACATGAGCAAAATTTTCATCCGCTTCAATTTGTAATGAATGACTTCAAATGATATTTTTTATTAATTTCCTTAGCAGCAAAAATTCTAGAGTTTAACAATTAATAGAATATAATAGATAACCCCACACATTCCTGAGCCACTTTGAGGCCCCGTCAGTTAACCCCCAACGACTTCACAGTTATCCGCCCCCCTTAACACCATTGTGCACTCAACTGCCTCATCACGGATTCCAAGCTAAGCCCTCGAACAAAGCCTTGTAGATCCGTGGCAAATCCCTTTGGAAACGCTTTAAGCCGGCTGCTTAAAACAAACAAAGCTGACAGCTGCAGAGCTAGCACTTTTTTTTAGGCCTGTCAGAGGGCCTACTCGTACCTACTCGTACCGAAAAAAAAAAGCTCGGACCCCAGCGAAAGTCTGGCCCAAAAGATCGATCATCATTTGTTTTGGACCGAGTGGCTCCCGTTTAGGGATGGGTTTTTTTTTCTTTTTTTTTGAGGAGGAGATTGGAGAACCGAGAGTTGGGGAACCACAATGCGTGCTACTTACATGCCACCGAAACAATTACAGAGCGCTAAGTAAACCAACTGTAATGCTCGGTAGACATTGAAATACCGTTCGATTTGGAAATGGAAATGGGGAAAAAGGGGAAAAGCCAAGAGAAAAGGCCTGGCTGCGACCACAAGATCGTAATCAACATGCCATTAAAACATCTTTGGAAGATGTCGATGTCGAAGTCGCAGTGCGATGACAATGACGCATGAAACGAATCGTTCGATGGATGGATGATTTTCGATGGCCAGATGGATGGATGGATGGATAGATGGTATGCTATGGTGGCTATGACTGCCTCCAACTCCAAGCCCTTTTGATTTCGCTTTGGCATTCAAATGCAGCCAAAGCCAGCGAAGATGAACTGAAACTGAACAAAAGGCGGGGAAAAGCTGAGGGACTGCGACAGGGTTTCTTCATTACGGGTCGCTTAAGTGTTTCTGCTTTGGATGAGTACACGCCCTGATTTCAGCTATTGCAAGTAAGCCGCTCAGCGCGTGCTCAATCGTGGATGGGTAGCAGGGGCAGGGGGGTTTCAGTCTTAAAAGCCAAGTTAGCAGCCCGCGGCTATTGATCCGCTTGAAATCAAAAGTCTTTTTATGTTGCCAAGCCACCAGAGCACCGAAGCACCACGAGCCGATACAATAATTAATGACGGCGTAACTTTTCGACCGATCGAAGGTTGACGGCAACAGAAGCTAAAGCCTGGATGCTCTCTCTTTATCTTTATAGAAACTATAACCATACGTTTTGGGGATCAGCGTTTGATGATACTTTCAACTAAGCCTTTTAAGGATATGATACTATTTTTGAGTTAAATAATTTCCTTTTTAAACAATTTAAAATTGTGGCCTAAAGCATATTATTTGGAAGACTTTCTATTTATATTTGAAGATAGATTTGTTAATGAAAGGAAAGCGAAGGTCAATAAAAGTTGATAAATATAAGCTTGTTATTCCAAAAGCAAAAAATCTCTTTCTTTTCTCCTTTCCCACTATAAATAATATTTTAATAATTTGAAACAAAGCTTACCTTGGTGCAATTCTCGCAGGAATATTTGCGCAAATTATCGTGGGAGATCGCTTCGTGTTTGATGAGCAAAGGACGAAGGCAGAATCGCAATGGGCACTGCTTGCAGGGGAATTCGTCCTGTTTGAAATGATGGGCGCCCACCAGATGATCGTCCAAGCTGGAAGGGAAAAACACAAAAATGCGCTCATAAGTTAAGGAAAATTCAGGGTACCTAAGCACTGGCAGTAAGTTCTCCCTTTCGACTGGCTTATCTGACTGGCTGTCATCACAAGTGAAATTAGCATTGTGACATTTTCGTGGGGCTCTCCGCCAAATCGCCGCGGTTCAATCAAAGTCATGTGCGCCAGTTCACACGCCTTTGTGTGCCGACCACCTGGGATAACGCCCCCTGCGGAAAATCCCTCCCTCCTGTTTTTTTTTTTTGGACGGGCGTCAATTAGTCAAATGATGTTCAATATTTAATATGCGCGGCGGCCACTTGATAAGCGATCTCTGTCCAAAAAAGCAAAACAGCTGCGGCCAATGAGCAAAGGCGTCCTTGATGGAGGAGAATTGTGGCCAAAAGTGGTGCGTGGTGGTGCGATGCTTATCGTCTTCCATGTAGGTGGAGTAAAATCAGGCAAAAAAAAATATGTATGTAGCAAAGCGATGTCGACAAGAGGCGGCAACGTTTTCATTTTTCTTTGTTTTGTCATCGTCATGGAAGAGTTGATAGTTCCGAGCCCCCTAAATCTCCACCCCCCTTTCGTTACCTTCACCTCAAGTGTGGGCGTTTGTTTGGCTTACAGTCCATGCATGTTCAACATCAGATAAATGGCAAAAAAAAAAAAAAAAAAAAAGAAGGAAAAATAGAGAGACAGCCTGGACACGCAGACATTGCTCACATAGCTTCCCTTCCATCGAGAGCTCCTCATGTAAAATTCAATAAATCACCGGCACTGATAAGTGCACCCCAGGGGGGTTGGGGATTGGTGGTGGGGGTTCGGAGTTGGGGACCCACCACCCACTCTAGTAACGGTAAACTTACTACGCCGCTCTACATCTCGGTCCAAACATCAAATCAAAGCTCGCTTTTAGCACTTCAACTTAAATATATGGCTATCTATGATTATAGCCACATCGTGTGTATATATATGCGAGGATATGGAAATGTCATTTGCGTGTTGCCTTCAATTGTTGCTGCTTGTGGGTCATTTATTTATTACAACGCAAAACATTTGTAAATATTGGGACAAAACTTTTGCATTAACCACTTGTGTGGGAGGACGATGGTCATGTTTATTTTTCAAGCGGGAAAACTTAATGGATAGATTGATGTTCAGTATTCAAGGGAAAGTCAGCCAATGCAGTGTATAAATTTGATTTATCTAAACTGAACTGATATATCCCCTTTGATTTTCATTTAATTTAAGTATCGAAAAATGTAATTTAAATTTAAACTGTATTTATATCAAATAAAATGCATTTAAAGCAAATAAGAACTATTTTAAATATAATATTATCCATTTTAATATTAAGTCATATAATTTAATGTGCATTATATTTATTATTTATGTGCAATATAATATTATTTCATATTTTAAATCATTAGTAAGATATTAATTTGTCTATTCCTTTTCTGTAAGCAGTGTAGGAATTTAACTAGATAGAGATTTCCCCTTTTTTTTAATGATACAGCCAACCAACGACTACTGAAACTCCTAATCGTAAAACCAAAACAAACTTTGAAAAAAATCTAAATAAAGCCAAATGAAATCGAAATGCCGAGCCAATGCAGCAGGCATTAAGGCTCAGTTAACACCTACAGATTGCACATTTGGGCCCATAAAAACCCAATCATGGAACGGGCCAAAGCCAAACAGACGTATAGTAAACTTCAGTTGGCCAAAGCGAACCGAAAGCCAGTCAGATCAAGACCAAGACCATTTCAATTCATTTCAGAGCTCACAGCTCACTCTCACTTTCGGCCGAGCATCTCTTGGATGTTTTAATGGCACTTTTATTGGCCGCACTATTATCGCCATCAACTTTTAATTAAGATCTCCGCCGGAGCCCGCCATTAGACCGCATATCCACTTAGACCCGAAGCATTTAGCAACATTTGCGGATACTTTGTATATCAGTCGGATTTCTCTTTCAACTTCTACACAGATTTTATTTGCTGCGCACCCATAATTCTTATGGGTAAGTTGGAAGCTAATTGGGGGCTTGTTTTTTTTTATTTTTTCGACTCAAGCAACCCACAAATTTGATTTAGATTATTGTCGATGCTGCTTAAATGCCAAAGCAATTTCAGCTGCAGACATTCACCTACGCGAAAATCGGGAGTTGGGAGCACTGGAGGGGTTCTCCACGGGGGTCTGATTAATGGCAATTAGGTTGGCCACTGGTACTCACCGTTCTAAATCCGGATAGACTTTATCACAGGTCTCGCAGCGTATATCGAAACCGTTTTCGTCGTCTGAGAAATCGTTATCTCCCTGGCTGATTAGCGAGGAGTTTTTCTTATCTTTGGAGAATTCGTCACCGCTATACAAAGAGCCTGGAAAAGACAGAAAGGAATTGATTAGATTAACACAAGGCAGTAAAATATTATTGACCCTTGATCATCTGATATATATTAAACAAATAAATTAAGCACTAATTTAATAATAATAAGACAGGTCAGAATATCAGATATTTAAATACCACTTCTAAATGTTAAGCTAAAGTTTTTGTTGTTAAGTGAGCTTTAAAGCGCGACATAAATTTGGAATAAAAAATTTAGGTAAAAACTTTAAAAATCTGTTTAGTCCCTCTAGTATCTCAATTAGTTTCCATTTTGGAGAATTATAAAATATCACATATTTTAAGTAATCGGGTATTAAAATCACAGAAAAAGGATATAAATTGTCGAAGTGATGTCAGTAAAAATATTTATCCTTAAACTTTATAGCACTTCACAAGCACTCACAAGAAAGCTGGCAATCTTCAACTCTAGGCGTTCACTATATGTCCTTCCGATCCTTAAGATATCACTTGGATTGGTCACTTGACACACAACCGTTCGGCTTCGCGTTTGATGAACAAGTGTGTCGTTCGCGGAGCATAATGCCGACGAGCTAATGTTTTGTTTGCCCGCTAACAATCTGCGGCAGGTCCTTTTTTTCTGGCCAGGACGCACTGACATATGACCAACACACACTATTGCACACACACCGCACTCTACTCACACCGGGGTAAACACGCAAACACTTAACACAAAATTGGTAGCGGAGACGAAATCGTGTGCACTCATATATGGCACTCGCATTGCTTGACGTTGAATAGATAATTGTCCCAAATGAAAGTAAGGTAAAGGTAAAGGCAAGACACCCCTACCCATCCCACCACCTCTAGAGCCAAAACCTCACCCCTCTCTTAACTTGGCCGACTCCCGACGAGTGCCAAGTGCACAGATGCAGTAAGAAAAAAATCCATGACATATCTTAAATTTCTCTTATATATAAAATGTCTTTTTTGTATTGATTAAATAACTTGTTTAAGATGAAATTTATATATTTTGATATATTGATATTAAAAATTTTAATTTTTTAAAGTTTGTTTTCAAAGTTAATTAAAATAAAGTTTATATTTTTTATTTTTATAAGAAAATACGTTTTTGCCTTGTTCTTGTTTTAGAATTTGTTGGAAATTATTGTTTTTAATTCTTTAGCAAGGAGTTATACAACTTGAACCCTATTAGGTTAAGAAAAGAACTATATCAAAACTAAAAACTATTTTTCTCCCTGCACCTTTAAACAATTCCTAGGGGAAATGAGTGTTGAATATGAGCAGAGAGGTTGAGGAGAAAGCTGAGGTGCTCTAGGGGGTGGCTGAGAGAGAGGGAGGGGTTGGGGTGGGGTTTGGTGCTAGGACTAGTAAGCAGGGGTGGTGGGCAGTGGACAACCACCAGGTGACACCAACATAAGCACAGGCCCACAGAGAGCAGCTAAGGGATGATGGCGATGACCAGAGATTATGCATGCAAGCACATCCGAGGGGTCAGCAGTCAGCAGTCAACCCCTCAACCTCTGCCACTGCCACTGCCACTGCCACCCTGCACCCCGTTCGCCACTCGATGCGGTTCCGTTGGACTGATTTCGTTTGAAAAGTCATACAGATATGGCACCTTACCAGGTCTCGCTGCCTTTGGCCTCTAAACAGGTGTTGCCTCTCAAGGCAGCCCACCCCCTCCGCTCGCAGGGTGGGTCCTAAGCAGCACCACCCCCACTCTAAATGTGCTCGGCACAGTGGTAATTGCTGTTTGGGTCAAAAGTTAATTTTCAGCGTGTGCAATATGGTCGGAAAGGGGCAGCGAAGATTCCCACGTCAAGAGTTTCTCCTTGTGGGCTGCACTTGAACTTTGGCTTCAGCCTTTTCTCGTTTTTAATTTTTGGGTGGGCAAGCGTGGGATAGTAGGAGGGTCGGGATCTGTGTCTAGGGGGTGGGGCTGGCCCATAGGAGTCGAAGTGGGAGTGGGTTGACATATGGCGTCCTGGTCAAAAGGTAGGGTAGGTGGTGTAGGTTCCTCGAGCCTGAGAATGCTTGGGAAAACTTATGTTTGGGTGGTTTGCTCTAAGTAGGGAGGAATCCTGGGAACTAAGTTTCCCTATAAAATAAAACACCTGGTCTTAAGAGTACTCAATAAGAACAAGAGCAAATAAAGAATGTTGTTTTTAATTTGACTTTCAAAAATACGGTTTTTTTTATTTAAACAAGACAAAAAATTGAAAACAAAAAAAATGTTATCAAAGGATTAACAAAACAAGAAAGAAAGCAAACTTCGGCAAGCCGAAGTTCATATACCCTTGCAGCTATTGCAAGAATTAAACATTTTTGAAAACATTAAAATTATGATTTACTTTCGTATATGTTTAAAAACATTGAAGCTATGATGATTTGCAGCCCAATTATTTGATAGTTATTTTATATATTTTTATTATTTCTAAGGGAGCTATATGATATAGACGTCCCATTTTGATAAAATTTAAACCATAATTCTGAAATATTTAACCATTGCTATATGTCGAAGAACTAAACAAAAAATTAAAAAACAGAAAAGTTATAATATTTTTCAATTATTTTTCCAATTGTTGCTATGGGAGCTATATGCTATAGTCGTCCGATTTTGATGAAATTTAAACCGTAAATCGGAAATATTTAACCATTACTAAATGTCGAAGAACTAAACAAAAAATTAAAAAACAGCAAAGTTATAATTTTTTTTCATTTATTTTTCCGATTGTTCCTATGGGAGCTATATGATATAGTCGTCCGACTTTGATGAAATTTAAACCGTAAATCGGAAATATGTAACCATTACTAAATGTCGAAGAACTAAACAAAAAATTAAAAAACAGCAAAGTTATAATTTTTTTCATTTATTTTTCCGATTGTTCCTATGGGAGCTATATGCTATAGTCGTCCGATTTTGATGAAATTTAAACCGTAAATCGGAAATATTTAACCATTACTAAATGTCGAAGAACTAAACAAAAAATTAAAAAACAGCAAAGTTATAATTTTTTTCATTTATTTTTCCGATTGTTCCTATGGGAGCTATATGCTATAGTCGTCCGATCCGGCTCGTTCCGACTTATATACTACCTGCAATAGAAAGACAACTTTTGGGAAAGTTTCATGCAGATAGCTTTAAAACTGAGAGACTAGTTTGCATATAAACGGACGGACAGACGGACAGACGGACAGACGGACAGACGGACATGGCTAGATCGACTCGCCTAGTGATGCTGATCAAGAATATATATACTTTATAGGGTCGGAGATGTCTCCTTCACTGCGTTGCAAACTTCTGACTGAAATTATAATACCCTCTGCAAGGGTATAAAAATGTATTTTGCTTTCATTTTCAATCAAACATTTTTGGAATTTGAATATTTCAATTTTTAAAGACAAAATACTCAATATTTTAAAATTGATAATTACTCTTATATAGTAATATTAAACCATATTATTTTTTCTTTAAAAGTCTAAAACGACAGACTTTTTTAATCATGCTTACTCCTGGTAATTTATCAATTTCACAATGATTTATTTGCAACTTCAAGACCCGACTGTCTAGCTACCCATCGATTCCTTATCATTTAGCCATTGCCCAGCCCCCTTGTCAGCATCTCCCCCGAATCCTGTCCAATCCTTTCACGCCTTTCACCAGTTCTCTTGCAGCAGCTGTGGAATCCCCCTTTCATCTGACAGATTGATACACTCGCCCAATGCAGAACTGACAATTCAATAGATCCATTGAACGGCTTCAGGATGTGGATTGTGCCGAGGGGATGCCGAAGGGGCGGGCTGAAACTCTTTGACATGCCAATTACATATCACAGAATCTGCTGCTGGCTGCCGAAAGACACCGGCTGACCCTGAATCGGAGGCTATATCTCGCTAAACGGAAGCCGAAACTGTTGACAAATGATTGATTGAATTATTTACACCTTACAACTTGCTCAAACAAAGTACAATAACAAAAAAATCAAAGTTAGATCCGCCTGCTAATCGATTTGGCAGCAGCCGAAATAAAAAACAAAAAAAGGGTTAGGTGGCACTCCTAATGATGCCCAAATTGACACACGATGATCATTTAGCCGAAGACGCGACACGAGCCTTTTATTTAATATTGTTTTTTTCCCATTCGATTTTGGTTTTCAGCTCATTAATCATCCATCAGCTTTGCCGGCGACAAAGTGTCAATCCGCGCACGTCTGTGTGTTGTCGTATCTGCAGAGTTAGTTAGGATCTCGTTTATGGGCTTGGTCTATGTGGCGTGTGTTCTGGCAGTCGCCAGTTGGCCATACGAATGTATCTAAATGTGCTTCGTGTATAGTTTGTTCCATTGTTTGATTGGTCGATTGAAGACTTGCCGCGACCTAAGCCGAAAGCCATCTCAAAAGTGTCTTGGTTTCGTTTGTTTTTGGGGAATGGTTTCGGTTCTGCTTTGAGGGGGAGGGCTGGAGTCAAGGTGAAAAGAGCTCGCTTTGAGTTGACAACTTTGTGGGTTGGTTCTTTTTGGATTGATTTAAGGAATGGCTTGATACAATTGTACAGAAAATGCTACTAATTTTTGACTTTAAACTCTTAATTAAAAATTTGTACAAGTTATTGTTATTGTAACAAATGTTATAAAAGTTATTGTTATTGTAAAAAATGTAATATGCCATCTAACGTTTATTTTTATATGAAAACAATAATAAGATAGTCATACAAATAAAACAATTTAAGTTTTGCTTAAAAAATGAACTTCTAAGGAATGTTTTATATGTTATTGTTTTTTATATATCATTTTTTTGATAGTAGCGGAAGCTGAATAAACTCTTTATATCTGAACTACAAATTTAAGAATGATTTTTTTTGTCTCCAATATTTTTAAGAGTCTTAAATTTTTCTTATAGCTATTTAAATTGTTAAAATTAAAGCCAGTAATGACACACATAATTTTTTGCATAACTTAAAAAAAACTTTCCCATGCCATTAATCGCACCCCATTGGCATTTGTATTTTGCTTAATGAAAATTTTCGAAAATATAAAATTCCCAGCCCAGGGACTCATTAAATATTCCTCGACAAAAGTAACGTCGAAACTTGGAACTCCCTCTCCTGAAAATTCAGCGATCTTTTGCTACCGTTTCAACCACACTTTCGATCGTTCCTTGTCACCTATTTCCTTTCCGGACGGAGCCTTGATCGCGTTGCCACCCCCGTGCTGCACTGGTGGCATTCGCTGGCATGTCCTTGGGCCAGGACATCTGGGCCTTGTCTTTTGCCAGACCAGAGACTAGAGGAAATTTCCCTGCTCAGCAGCGCGTGAACTGCGAGAAAAGTTGCTCGAAAGAACGTTTTTAACGATATGTTAAAAAGTCAAGTCACAGGTGTCCTTTTTTGTAGGGAAAAGCGGGTTGAATATCAAGCTTCGAAAAGGAAACTTTGACAGCTTGGCTTTAATTGAAAAACTCAAAAATAAATGGGAAACCATTGTAAGGCAACTATGATCCGGCAGATAAGCATATGGAATTAACCATTATGTTCGTTACATATTCAAATTTTAAGCCGACTCGCTAACGAAAACATTTCCGTGGAGATTTAAATTTGTGATAATCAGAAAAAAGAGTGTGAAACGCCAAATGAGCTGTCCATAAATCCCACATGTTTATAATCAAACACGCCCCGGCTTCCCATTTTTGAGGGACTCGAGGGATGCAGGATTAGGCTTAAATTGAGCGTGTGCCATTTTGACTGTCAGCAACATATACAGCGGATAGCATATATCGCTGACACAATCTCGGACCCTTTGTTTGCTGATGGATCTCTAATGAAATTATCAAACATTTTAATAACAAATGAAAACATGTGCGGTTGCCGGAATATTGCATGGGCGCATGCGCAGCGCACAAATTGATCGCATTTAGGGGAGGCAAAAGGGTGCGCGTTGATGTCGCAGAAGGGATGCCCGATTCTGTGAGCCCTCATAAGCTGTTCCAATGCCTTTTTTGCCTGCTCCCGAGATTGTATCAGAGGGCCGTCGCTCGTGCCAGGAACTCTGTCACGGGCATTGCCACCGGATTCTGGATTCTGTATTGACCTGACCCACAGTGGTTGCGTTGTGCGTTAATTGCCTGGCACCACAGCTGCACTTATTAGCCACACCAGCATGGACACAGCACACACACTATATTCATTTTCAATGTCAAATCTAGATGGAATTGAACAATTTTGTGTCAGGGGTCCTCCTGGTAGCCGTGCATTAGGATGGAGAATGACATCTTAATTACTTTATTCATTTCAATTCCAATATAATTTTTGTAATATTATTCTCTTTAAAACTTGTCGAAGAAAACTTAATCGCTTGAACTTTGTTAAGGGATTTCTTGTATTTCAAATAATTCAGTTCTTTTGACTAACTGCAAACTGTTTAAGTTTTAAAATGTTTAACTTCGAATTTGAGTTATTATTGTAATTGTTTTTACAATCGGCAACAAATTAATGCAAAAAAATAAAATAGAGTACTCACCATTATCACGTTCGCTGCGATCATCGCTGGGCAGTGAGCTGCCCCCGCCCCCGCTTTTCGGTCCAGAGGACGAGCCGGCGGCCACTGCGGCGGCGGCTGCTGCGGCGGCTGCGGCTGCCAGGACTCCTCCGCCGTTTATGAAATTTTCATTCAGCTGAACAGGACTCTTTGGCCGACCGTCGACGACCATTTCACTGCCTGCATTCACATAACGATTCGTTTCGTACCACAGCTATTAATTAAAAAAAAAGGGGAAAATAATTGTAAAAAATTGTCAAAAATTCGAGTGGCACGTGCTTAGGGGTTTCGGGTCAAGGGGCTTGTACTCACATAACCGCCATTAATGTAACTCTCTAAATTAGCCTCGCCAAAGCCATCGTCCTGAACGATTCGGATTTTTTTCAACCACGTCGACACGTCAGATGTGGGCTCTAGCCAGCCATTAAAATATCCATTATATGCCTGCAAACAAAACATAAGGGTAATTAATTTTAAATGTAATTTTTTTTCATTTTTGTGGTCTTAATTTAAAAAGATTTTTAAGTTGTATTAGATTTCTAAAGATAACTGCCGGCGCCATCTGTTGGTTCAACCCGGCTAACTGTGCTATTTTTACAAGTTGTCTTTGCTAAGCCATGACACAAACCATCAAACTGTCATACATCGTGTATAATTGACATGTAGCCAGGTAGATATTTTAGTTTTGGGGAGTATAATTTGTTTTTAAATACTTTAAAATAAAAAAAAAAATTTATAAATAATTATTTAAATTATAATATTTTGCGAAAAACATGTATTCTTACCGTAACAACTTTTATAAATAATTTATAATATTTTGAAGCTTACCAGCTATTTTCCTTAACATAACTTATTGATTTGACGTGATAATATTTTTATGTGCAGAAGAACAAATATTTTGGAATGGCTTGTTAAGATAATCACAAACACAAAATAATTGTCTTATTTAACAGAACAAAAAAGGAAGAATATGTAAAGTGCATTAATGAAAAATATGCCATAATTATACCCAATTATTATTCAGCCAATTAATAAGGCCCTTAAGAACTCTAGTCAAAAGCAAACCCAGCAAGACGCCGCCCACAAGTCTGCCCACCACATCAAGGTCACTGGCAGTAAGGGGAAACTGCAGCAACAGTGCGAATACAAGCAAAAAATACAACTCAAAACTAAACAAAAACAGCCGACAGTTTTTGTATACAAAATAAAAGCAGCGGCGCCAAACTGAAATACGCATAATTTACACAAATCGTTAACGGCGGCTGCCGCTTTATTTTTTGTTCCTTTTTTTTTGTAGTTGCGGTTGGAAATGGGGAAAACTGCCTTAGACTTTGCGACGCCGAAAGTTGGAGGCAGCAGCGGTAGCAGCCGCAGCGGCAGAAAAAAAAATCAACCACAATTTAAAATCAAAAAACCAAAACTCAAACGCTGCGGTTGACTGAATGACTTTGCGTATGCGCAACGTTCAAGTCGCCGCCGTCAACCTCTTGTCTATGAATTCATTTGGAAAAACGGCATTTTACAGTTTGCAATCGAGTGGTGTGTGAGTGGGAGAGTCTGCAGAGTAAGAGCGAAGGAGTGAAAGAGTGAAAGAGAGAGGGCGAGCAGCATATGTGCACGCTCCAAAAATTAAGTTAACAACGCCTCAAGTGGCTTCTTCTGCCCCGCGGCATATGCAGAGCGAAAATAAAATAAATACAAATTTATACGCGCGTATAAATGAAATAAACTTTGCGTTTTGCAGGACGAAGGCGAGGTTGGTTTGCTTTCCTCAAGTGCTTTCCCAAACAAGTAGGTTGCAGTCTGTGTTTTAAGGCTGAGTAGGGAGGGGAGGGGAGGGGCCCTCGGAAGTTATAGTTGCAAAAATGTATAATTGGAAGGGCTTAGATTTTTGAAAAACGGTCGAGTTTGCAATTACAATAATTAGGAGGAGGATATATGGCTAAGCAGCATGGAAGGCATCAAAACACATCTGCTTACATTTATGGAATGTTGTTAAAGTCGAGAAGTTCAAGTTATTAAACAAGATAAATGCTTAAAACAAATTGACATAACACAAATTCTGTATTAAAATTTTGTACTAAGTTTTTTGTTTTTAAAGTCCTCTGCAAAAATCACAAATTATAAAAACTTTTATTTTTTCTTTAATAATTGGCTGAAATTATGAGCTTGATAAGTCTTATCTTAGCACTGAATGACTTTGCAAATAAATAATCTAAAACATATTCTTTGTTGTTTGACTAGCAATTTTTTCAAAACTTTGTTCATTTTCAAGTACATAAGTTTACCTTTTAAGATTTATAAAAAAAAAAACATTAAGAGAAAAAAATAACACAAACAGAAATTTAAAAAAGTAAAATTTTCTTTCCTCCAAAAATAAATTTCCCACATAGTGTCATGTGTACAGCAGGGCAATAAATACCAAGATAATACAGGTTATCGTACAAGATCTTTTGCCTCTGTATTTTTCTCGGCTATTTAAAACGGCAAATGAAACTGCAATCCGATGCAGCCACTAAAAAATGATAAGATCATCGCAACATGGCTAAAAATTGCCGGGACAGTTTGGCAAACAGTTCCAGTTGCCCGTTTTGTCCGTCGATAATCCCCGGACAGGCATCACACATGTCCTTGCCTATTCATAACTTTATTAAAAAGGAGGCCACAACGCGCAGCAGCAAAACACGAAACAGTCAATGGGCAGGGAAAATATTTACGCGCCAGAGATAATCTCAAAGTGTTGGGTTCGCTCGGTCGGTTGTTCGGTTGTTCGGTTGTTCGGTTGGCAAAACTAGAACTACAACTGGCTTCGAATTGCCAGCTCAGATCCTCCGGGAGGATCAGTCGGGGAAACGGTGGCAGATAGGGACAGATACGGCCAATGTATCTGTCAAAACGGAAATGTGAACGATAAAAGTGCGCTTGATTTGAGGATCATCCAGGAATAAAGGACAGAGGCAGCAGCAGCAGCAGCAAAGGGATCCGAAGGCTCTGTTATTTTTGCAATTTTCGCTCGAGTGGCAGAAACAATATTTTTGTAGCAATACCTGAGCTGAGCTGAGTTGTGCACGTAGGTAAAGGAAGGGATTTCTCCTTGTGCGAATTGTCAACAGGACGAGGCGCGATAATTTGATTGGATTGTCTGTGCGCCCAAAAGAGGCACAAACTGGAGGGAGGGAAAGTGTCAGTTGACTGACTGACTGACTGACAACCGATCGAAGGGTTCATCGGCAGCACTAGCCTGCGATCCCGATTTCGATCCCTAATTGGAATCATCAGCCGGCCTCGACTTAAGCCTCATTTGGGGTGCACTTTGTGGATTTTCGTCCTGGTCGATGGTTTTCCTGGTTTTCCACTCCGGCGAAGGTAAATTAGCTCTGGCCAGGGATTAGGCACATTTGACTGACAATTGATACCCTCGAGGTAGAGCTCTAATCAAATCTCTTTCCAATCGTTTGATTTTCCCTGCGAAAACTACCCAAAAAATTGGGATGACTCAATTCGGTTGCAATTTTCGCACATAAAAATTGGTACGGATCTGATGGGATTAAATTTCCCGACCAGCGAAAAAAAAACAGTAATTTGAGATTGCAAAAATGCGCACACATGTGAAAGGCTTAAGGACCGTTTTGGTGATATATTTTATTTCGAGATTTGTAAGTTTTGTATAATCAGGCAACGGAAATATTTGGGAAAATATTTGTGGTGGAAAACTAACGACATATTTGGGTGGAAATGGGAGATTTCTATATATTTATATATATATCCTATATAAAGGTTTTAATTTTTTTAAATTAAAACCGTTTTTTTAGCTTATCATTACGATGCTTACTTTTGACTAACTCACAATGCTGTTTTGATCACCATCCTTTCAGTTCTTCAAGTATAGTAACTAATTTAATTGTAAAGTGAACTCACCTTCCATGCCAGTTGCTGGTCGTTGGGCTGGTGGCTGAGCTTCATGGGGAAGGGCCCGTAGCGGGTGCCCCGCTGGAGCGGCGTCTTGGCGTAGACGCCGCCGCTATCACGGATCTCCAGATCACAGTCCAAGTCGCGCCTCCGCGCCCACTCTTGCAGGATGTGCTCCGCCTGGGCACGGTCCTTGAAGTAGGCATCCATGCCGTCGGCGGCGGGTGATTGGGGTTGGGCTTCCAGGGACAGAGGCAACGTGGGAGGCGGTGGCTGGTGCTGGAGATGATTGGGGTGATGCAGGAGCTCCGGATCCAGAGCCCGCCTCGTCGGTGATCCTTCCACAGGATCCGGTTGCGGCAAGCGATGGCGGGCGGCGAATGAATCCTCAAGTGGCTCGGGCAGCGGATTGAAGGCCTGACCCCTGGCACTCAGGTCCAGGTGATGGTGGTGATGATGGTGACGCACAACACTCGCACTTGGATCGAAGTCGTCGCCGCTGGAGCCTGAAGCGAATCGTAAAGAATAAGACACACCGATTAGAAATGACTTTTCCGACCGCCGGCTAGCAAGCACTCAAAGCACTAATCCTAATCAGTTGTTGGCTGTCATGTCACTCCCAAAATAAAATAGATAAAGCCGACTCCTCAAGCGAGAGATGACAATCGTCGCCCGGTTCCATTTAAAGGTATCTCCGGGTGATTTTGCAATGCACCGACAGCTTGTGGCTCCTATCTCCCCTTCAAGACAGGTGTCTGTGGTCTCTACCCTTCCGGCAGACAGGGCATATCTGTTACCTCGTATGTGTTTCTGAATTGCCCGAGCAGGCTGTGCAAACAAAATCTGGATCAATATCGACGGGAAAATATTTAAACTATTTTGTTGACACAACAATTTGAATGAATAGCTTTGATTCGTAATCACTTTTAATTGATGTGAGTGGACGGGCGTCTGCCGATTGAATAGATAGAAAGACAGGACTAGGGCAGTTAAAAAGATAATTCACAGACAGTTAAGTCGAGGGTAAAAAGATTCTATTATTGCTGGCTTTTAAGGAAGGTATTTGAAGTAAATATTAAGCAATCCCAAGTTAGCAAAACACAAAAGCATATCATTTATATTTGGCTTAAGAGAATATCACAGAAATAATATTTATAAAATAAGTACGTTAAAACACTCTCTTTTATCAAGAAATTTTACTAATAATTAAAATATGTGCAAGGACAAAACTAATATTATGAAAAACCATAATTATTTATTATAGATGATGATGTAAGAGTCATAGCTATATAAAAAAGTGCATTCCCTAGTTGTCACTTAAAAAAAAACCCCCACTTCTTTGAGATATAGATAATCGGTGGGCTCGGAACATAAGTATACACGCACAAATTACCCGACGATTATTGATATTTGCCCAACTACTAGTTGTTGTTTGCTGTTTGCTGTTTGGTTTCTTGTCTTGTCCATCCGCCTTGTTCGAACACTTGAAACTAAATCGTAATTTGAGCTGTTAGACAAAATATGACAGCGCTTCCAGAGATAACGAGTACCAGCGGTACGAATGGTAACAGTAACAGTAACATTACCCCCGAACCAGATAAGTATCGGCCATATAAATAGACCGCAAAACAGGCGCAAACAATGGGCCGCAATGGTCAAACAAATATTGCGTTTAGAGTGTAGAGTGTAGTGTTCGAGTTCCTAGACCCGAACAACCTGCTGCATTTCGCACATCCTGCGGCACACTCTATTTGCACAGCATCCCGAGACTTCGATCTCGAACCCCGACGGCTTCACACCATTTAGCGAAATCTTTTTGAAGTGGCCTACACTTCAAAGACCGCCCTCGGCTCTATTTGACAACCCGATTGTTAATCACTCCAGTTTTCTTTAGTTTTCGCTTTTACTCAAGCGCAAGTGTTTTTCTTGTTAGTTGGAGGGTACTTCGGGACCTTCGGCTAATTTGTTTTTTAGGTAATCACATTTGGGACTGGCCTGCTGATAAAACTGCCCATAAATGGCTGATTGCCTTTGTTTGGGGGGCTTGATAAGTGGGAATCGATTTTAATGGGCTTACTTAGGGCTTACTCGTGTTTGAGTTGGGCCATTAAAAGTTTGCTTCTAAGTTTATGAACGAAACTAGATTAAAAGATGTTTTTGGTTGACTTAGGAGACAGAGTTCTCAAGAGAATGGTTTTGACTAATTTAAAATGCACTTGCATTTTTATTACTGGCTGATGTTTAGCTAAGATTTAGTTTATTTAAAGGTGGGGTGGAGTTCTTAGAGATGAAAATAATTGTATAAGATTCAAATATTTTGCATAGTTAAGAATATCTCGTAGTTAGCTTAAAACTTCAAGAAAAGAAGCTTGTTTTTGATGACTATGGTAAGTTCCGCTTAAGCTTGAAGATATTTTATATTTAACTTTCAAGGAAAGTTACAAATGCTTTAGGACAAATAAAATTTATAGTACTTAAACAAATAAACTTTTTAAATTTAGTAATTTGCAAATGTTGGTCGTTGTCGATAGCTTTGTGGTTTTTTTTTTATGTATATAATAGATATGAAAGACTTTCATCAGACTTTAAAAATCCTATTCAATCCAAGGTAAAGCCAGATTTATATCTGTTTTAATTGTTTTAAACACTTGATGGGTTAACTTTTGGTACACAGTTCTTCTCACTGATGTTTTATTGTTGAAACACAATCGAGTGACTAAAGAATGGATTGGCTCAAGCTGATTCACTTGGCTTCCTTCTAAGTTAGTCCCATTGTAAACCATTTTCAATGCAACTGATTTAGTTCAGGGAACTACGATTCCCTGTAAGTCACGGCGCGAGATACCGATTTTGTTTATATTCACGGCGTGGAACCAACCTGATATGACAAATCGATCGAATAGCATGATTCCGCTTTCAAACGTTACTTGTAATTATCACAATAAACAGATCGGTTGTAAATGTGTGTATATAGATTTTCATAACACGCGACGCGACATTTTTAGTGGCCTAACGTGGGCTAACACTGCGTATGCTCGATGTCGCTTTTGGTATAGTCCGATTCTTGCGATTTAAACGGCTAACTGATGGGTTGGTCGTCTCTATCTGCCGGTTGTCTTCGCAAGACTGCTGCGATAGCGCAAAAAAATATGAAGAACAAAATTGTGTGTGGCAGCGACGTCGACGTCGACAGCGACCGAGAATGAAAATGAGAATTTGAGAATGCAACAGCGGCGGCGGCGGCGGCGAGGCGAGTGTGATTTTCCAATTCCGATTGCCAGCACGCTCAGCAACGAACTGAATTGTCTGGAGGCGATGAGGATTCTTGGATTCTCGGATTGCCGGATTGCTGGGTTCTCTGATTCTGAATGGGAATTTTTCGGGCGGCTGGTTGGCTGCCCATTCGCCATGGTGGTTGTTTCCGCTCCTCTCTGCCAGCCACTGAAAAAAAAAAGCAAGCAAGCAAGCACTGAAAACCATACTCATCTCCCAAAAGATCGCCCTGATGTCCTGGCTATCTTCCCAAACCCAAAAAGTCTAGGGGATGAAATCGGAGAGCAGAATAACCGCACTGAGAGCACACGACAACAGCCTCTCTGGGTATCTTTCAGTGCGTTCATATGTATCTCCATCCTGCGCTCACTCTCTCTCGCTCGGGGATTCCGGGACTATGTTGTGCCTCTCTCTTTCGCGGCGAGAACACCTCTCTTTCTCGCCCCTTGAAATCTGTGTCAGTTCGCATTCATTATTATTATCTGAAACTTGGTGATTCTGATTCGAATCCTTAGTGCCAGTGGCCACAGAAAGGATAACAGAGGGAGATGGCCAACGAGACAGGGATAGAGAGTGTGAGTGTGAGTGCGGGTGCGGATGCGAGTGCAAGAGAGATGCCCTTATTTACCCCTCGATTTTTCCTATCAGAATGCGGCTATGTATCTTTGAGATACACAGACAGCCAGCTCGAGTTGAGGGAGGAGTCAGGATAATAGGGCGGGCACATCTTCGCATTCATTATGCACTCGTCTATATATAGACTCGACTTTATGTATAAATGGTATATCTATATACCGAAGTGGAGATATGGATACAGAGGCAGCAACAGATACAGATACAGATGCAGCTGCAGATACAGATACATTTACAGCACCAGATACAGATACAGATACAGATGCTGTGTGCTGCTCTCTTTTTCTGGCTGCTGGTAGTGCCTCTGTCTCTGTTGCGCTCTTGTGTTTGTTTGTTTGCGGTTGGCCCAGACACCACCCACTGCTCCCCCACCTGCTCACTGATTTTCCAGCCCCCCACCACCTTTGTTTTACACCGCCCCCTGGGGCAGACAAAGTGGCAAGTTGCCTGGCTTGCGGTTGCCATATCCTTAGCATCCATTTCGATTTGGATTTGGGTTTTGGCTTGGGCATTGTGGCTTTCGTTTGGTTTTACCTCAAAACCCCCCTCCCTCACCCACTGATTTTTCGCCCTAAATCAACCTGCGTCTGTTCCAAAGCGTGCGCAATAAGCACACATTAGGCTAATGGCTGTGTGTGTGTGGGTGTAGTCTGCCCACCCATTCATATATATGTTTGTGCCCTTTCTGTATCTGTGTGGGTTTATGGCTTCCTGCCAACTGTATGTGTTTGTGTGTGTGTGTTGGCCGGACAGAGAAAACTCACGGCTATAATTGAAAGCGACGACGACTTTTAGCCTGCGGCTGAAAAGGCAAAGTGTGCCGGGCTGATTTCCTCGCCTTTCCCCACAGTTTTCCCCTCGCTTTTCCTCTTGGTTGCTCTTTTTCCCTGTTCAAACAACAACAATCCTGGGCTCTTTTTTCTTTTTTTGGGGGAGATGGGGGTGACAAGTACATGGGCTTTTTGGTCTTTTGTTTGCAACTTAATTTTGTATCTGTCGTTAAACTTTTTTCGTGTTTCGGTGGGTAAAGGGAATTTTGTTGGACTTTGGCTTAGATTAAGAGAAGGTGGTGGTAAATTATGGTGATGAGTGGATGTAGATGACTGGCTATTAAGTGGAGCTTTTAAAGGGAACTTGGGAAACTAGCTATTAAAACCTATTTAATGAGGCATTTGATATTTGGCTGTTCCTAGTCATTATCATAAACTGGGTAATGATATGTAATCAATTGTTCTTTCTTGCATCAAGTAACAATTTTACTAACTCCCGGATAGTTGCTATCACAAAAACAAACGAATTGAATAATTTGTAACTTAGTCAATTTTTATTTCAAATATATGATTTATTTAAAGTTGAAATACCTTTATTTATTTCTGTAAAGGCAGCGAATAATTATTAATTTATCAAATGCAAGAATTTATCTTTTCCTTTGAAAGCCAGCACGCGTCAAAATCATGTCACATTATCAGAACATTTTATGTTCGTTCTATATAAAGTACGAATTATTTTATATTACGACATGTTATTATAATTGCTTGTAAATAGATACGTTTATCTTACGATTTTCTTTCCTAAACAGATATAGAAAATATATCCGAAA